TGCTTGGTCTTTTTTCCACCAGATGGCCCAAACTTGTTTTTGTAAGTCTTACTGCTTTGACCATGCTCCACAACATTGGCTTTAGCCATACCAGGATTGAACCACTTCTTTTCAGAACTTTTGTTGTCTTCTTCAATTCGAAGTCTAACAATAAGTTTTTCAACGTTCATTTCCTTTTGTTTGTGTTTTAAATAGTTTTTGAAATATTTCCATGCGGGGGGCAATTTTTCAATAATTGTTGCCACTTGAAAGGTTTCACTCAACACCATTCCTTCGACATGAATTTCGTGAACAATCACTTGGAGTTCTTGTATTTGACTAATAATAGTTTTGGAGTCCACCATCTTATAGTCTAGGAATCTGCCGACTATAAACTTTTTAGCCTCGGCATCCTCAATTTTGTATTTTCGGTCCAAAGACTCCCACAACTCCTTAGCAGTTTTCATCGTGGTATACACATTGTATAGCGGGTCTGTTAAACTGTTCATAATGTAGTTTCGACATAAAAAGTCCGAATGCTTCTAAGCATCAAGTGCACTGATTGTTTGAATATCTCATTCTCATTCATTGAGTACAAGAGCAGTCTCAATCAAGAATCTTGCAAGATTCAAGGTGGTCAGGTAAAACAGCATTTTCTGCTGCCACCTCTTGAAATTCAAGCCATTGAATTTTTCCGATTTCTCTCCATAATTAACCGGAACAGTAACCATTTGGCCAGTTTTTGGAGCCATAGTTTGACTCACAACACGACTAGACAAGTTAGCCACAGCAGAGCTTGGCCCTTGAACCATAGTAGATCCCACAACTTTATTTTCAACAGAAACAATTTGGGTTACATCCATGTTGGTTGGTTCGGGAGCCATTTCTGAAAATGAAATAATTATTAGTTTCCAATAAATAAATAAACTCGTTTACTACCAATACGTATTAAAAAATTTGTTTTAAGTTTGTTGTTATATTTAATCGGTAGTGTATGGAGTGTAATTGTGTTCTCATATACCGTATTTGTGTTTTAAACACCGGATTCACACTTACCGTATTTGGCAATTGCTTACCGTATTTGGTAGTGCAACTCACCGTATTTGACAGTACAACTCACCATATTTGCAACTCACCGTATTTGATAGTGAATTAAATACAGAATTTTCACAACTATTTGTTTTCATTTAATGACTTTAGATAACATAGAATTTGGTGTTTGTTTTCATATAATTTGCACAAACACAATTTCGAAATAAATTCAAATAAATTTTTGCTTAATTTTATTTTTCACAAATTACTTAGATACAGACTATTATCTAAATCACTACTTGAATAAGAATGACAAATTATATTATTTGCAGAAACATAAAAGCAATATAAATTTCAAAAAGCTAAATAAAATATGAAAACGTGTAAATCTGCAAATAATTAAGGCACAGATACTCAAACTGGAAGCATATATATATTTGGAAATAAACTTTCAACCCCGAGGTCTGTGTAAACGCAATTTCCTTAAGACAAATTCGCTCCCTCACCGTAGTACTAGAGGTTTAGTTCGAGCGTCTGTCTCCCAAGATACAACGGTAACCAGCAGAATCCGAGCACCGCGGTTCTACTCAGGCGAACTGGGCGAGTGTTTGAACAATATCACCTTATTGGTATGAGACGGAACAAAATAGAAAACAGAACCGAATCTGAGTATAAACTATTGGAAATTGCAGACGAAAATTTCAGTGTATGAACTGCTGGAAATTGAGTGAAATTATATAGGCTGAATCTGACCATTAGTTTCTGCATTAACCATTGCAGTTTTCAGAGTTACACTTCGATTTCAACCATTGGAGTTTTAGGAATTTCAGACACTCAAAAGTCATTTGGAAAAATCACAAAAAAATTTGCAAAACGTGGACAATCCAAACTGGCCAGTTTTTGCTCCGTTCGGTCCAATATTCGTGTGCGCAGGTCACGTCGCACCCAAGTTCAAGATCCGAAGGCTATTTTTGTCCGTGGTTTGCACCCCTCTGCGCGCGCACGTGGAGAGAGCCTCTATGCTACACATGATCACACCATTCCAATGCATAACCATATATAAAGTGGTTTTGGTTTCTATGTTTTTCTTATGTGGGACAAAGTTAACTATAGTTTTCCTACCAATATAGACCATTTCCAATGGTCCACTTTAAACTTCAATTTCTCATTCACCCGAACTTCATTTTTTGCAAATAAATACATGACTTCGATATTTTTGCGGAGGAGAACACATATCAACTTTGGTATTCCAAATTGGACAAACGGATCCCACCGAAAATTATGTCAAAAGTGAGTCGCTCACTCATTTTTCCTACATTACTAACCTTAAAGGCAGAGAGTGAGGATGACAAAATGTCCTGAATCCTGATCTTCACCTTCCTTGTTAGGGAAGTGACAAGGGCTAAGAATATGTGTTGGGTCCTAACTTTTATTTTTTTATTATCTATTTTTAATTTTAAATCTTATTTAGAAAAATAAAAATTATGTAAATAGGAAACGGGTGAAAATTGTGTGACATGATTTTACACGCATTAAGATATTTAGAGCATGTTTGGTAGATATTTTAATTCAATTAATATCAATTTTTTGACCGTTATTTCACTTTTTCAGCTTTCATTTTTGAATTATTCTCTCATAGGTAGGATCCACTTTATTTTTAACGATCAAAAAATCAATTAACAAAATTCCTACCATACAAGCACTTAATGTTGTTGTGTTTTTTAATTAAAAAAAAAAATCTAATTGTCAATTAAATTAAAGCTTTAGTTATATTTTCAATAAATCTTTAAATATGATTTATTTTCAATAAGTTATTGATGGTAACAATAATTATCTTAAAAAAGTGCCGGATGGACGAAAGAATTGTATCTCAAAGAGGACGGCATTGCTACTTCTAAGCCTGATGATGGAACTTCGCGCCAGCCAAAAGCACGAGAAGTCACTTCTCGCTACTTGTCTGTGCCAATTTCGTGTTTTTCAAAATCTTCTTCATCAAGTTCTAGCAATAATACGTCGTTGTCCCCAAATACAACTGAATCGTTGTTGGTGATTTCGTCTAGAAGATAACAAACTCTGATGGTTAGTAGAACAAGAGTGAAGACGCCACGAAATTCATAGAGAGGGCATGTTGTGGATAGGAGGCGATCAGTGACTGTGGAGGCAAGCTCATCAAATGCGAAGGAGATGCTAGTGACGCCATCGGGAGGCTTCGCCAGGAAATGGGTCGTTGTGCTATGGTTGATTTTATTTTTTATTTCTTTTCTTGATTTTTAGTTTTTCAATTTATTTTCTATTTTTTATTTATTTTTTAATATGATAATCTTAAAGATACTAATTTTGGTACAACTAAAAAGTCAATTAAAATCAATTTTTTTACTATTATTTTATTATTACAGCCGTCATTTTTGAATTCTTCTATCACAGATAGGATTCATTTTATCTCTAATGGTCAAAATATCAATTATCAAAATCCTACCAAACAAACACTCACACCTATTAATTGTCAAAATTGATCAAATTTTAAGTTTCTTGGTCAACTAACGGTCAAGTGGATGATTTCCATCTATTTGGATCCCAGTTGTATATTTTTGAAAGGCTAGGGACCTTCGTTGCACAAATTAAAGGTTAGAGTAAAGTTTGTAAAAAATTAAAAAGGTTAGAGACCATTGCTGCAATTTTTCCAAATTTAAGTTAAGAGAAAAAAATTAATAAAACAAATATAATCATATATAGAACATAAGGAGGTAAAGGCAAAATGAGAAATTTATGATAGGAGTTTATAATTATTTTTTGTTACTACATCATATTTTAATTGCAATGAAGGTTTTATTTTTGTACTTATATTTTCAACTTTTTTCGTGATATATTTATCTCCAAAATTTATTAATTAGCACATCTCATCACTTATGATGGTAAAAAAAATTATTAGGACAAATAAAATATTCATTTTTCCTGTATCATTACATGAGCAAGCTTAAATACAAATATAAGAAGTTCGACAAAATATTTTTTTCATGCTAACAAAATAATTGGATAGAAATCATAATTAAATAAAAGATGTGCTAATTAATTAAATGTTAAAAATAATAAAAAGTTGGGAACATTAGTGCCAAATAAGCAAAAATTTGGGACCTTCATTATAATTGACTTGTGGTACTATTAACAAACTTGATGTGAATATAATTATCTTTTTTTTTAATTTATGAAAAGTAAGGAAATGTCTATGTTATTATCATAAATCATAGAGGAAGTCTTTGTAACTACTCTATTTTTTTGTTTCTTGGTCTGATTCTCAAAAGTCTCGGATGGGATGGGGAATTAGAGAACTGCATCCTGTTGTCGTATTTTGATGAGAGTATTTTATTATTATTATTATTATTATTATTATTATTATAATCGGTGAATCTTAAAAAAGGCTATGCACTATTCTTGACAATATAGAGAGCGTTTGGTACCTTATTTTATATCAAATGAGATTAAATAGGACAGTAAAATATATAATATTTCAATTTTTTCTTAGTACAATAGGAAGTTTTTCCGATTGTGGTCATATTTGATTACAAAATTACAAATTCCACTAATTTATCAAATCACTTGATTGAATTTGAAACTAAAATAAAGCAAATGTGGTAATTTAACAAAAATGTGAAAAAAAAAATTGATTATTGTAGACTGCCTGCAAAACTTTACCCAAAAAAATAAATATTAACTTGCTATACTCGTGCTATGATGTACACACGTTGTCACCTTTATGCGATGTGAGCTTCAAAGTTCAAATTTCAGATGTCTAAATTATAATTAAGTCACACTTTCAAGGTTTGTATTCATTTCGAAAATCGGAATCAGACGAGTTTTTACCCTTTTGTTTCACATGATATTTCTGTTGTTTTAAAAGTTAAAAGACCAACTTGGTAGTTGAGCAATAAGTTGAAAACCAACTATGCAAATTTATCAAATATTTGAATAGAAACTTGTTTGATAATGAAGAATGATAACCAGTAGGATACTGGAGTGGATTTTGACACGCTTCACCCCTTCATCTAAACCCGTTGAGAATAGAGTAACATCAACCGCAATTCGGATAAGACAGAGAGAGCAAAAGCTTAGCAATGGCAGCTCTTCATTATTACTCTTCAGCTCTCCACTCTCTATTCACATCTCACTATTACCGTACACAGTTTCGTCCTCCTCATCGCCTGCTCCCCAAAGCCTCCTTCTCCTCCTCCTCCTCTCAAGACCAATCTTCTTTAATTACCCGTAGGCAGTTGATATCCGAGTCAGCAATCGCCATTTCTGTCTCGCCTTTTGTCGGAGGAGGAAAATATGGAAGTGCATTAGCTGCCGAAGAACCACTGTCTGAATGGGAAAGAGTTTTCCTGCCAATTGACCCTGGTGTCGTCCTTCTTGACATTGCCTTTGTCCCAGATGATCCAAAACACGGTATCTTTCTTATCTGTAAAAGGGCTGTTTAAGTTGCACACTCATTTTGCTTATTTAGTTTAGTAGAACACAAGTTTGGGGGAACTCTTGGGCTCTTTGTGGAATTGGTTCCTAAGTGTATACTAGTATTAGTTTTTGTCACAAGACAAGTTAATTGTAGGAATTACAGATGCATAGATCATAATTGATTACTAACCATGAGAGCTGACATGGCATCAAGAAAAGCCAAGTTCTGCTCGGCCATAGACCCTAATTCTATCTTGGGTACATTGACAACAAATGCATTTTTTAAGGTTGCCGGATTCTAGTGTGTGTAAAGGATAAGAAAAGGAGAAAACTAATGAAGTCTTTGAACCAGATAATGGAAGATTCTTTTTAGAACTGAAAGGGGGAATGACCTCAGTGTCTATCTATGCCAATGCTGAATTTGATTTTGTTATAGTAGTAATAGAAAGCAAGCCTTCAGTGTCTCGACTCTCAATTATTACTCTCCAAGTTTTTATCCCAGTAGAATGGCCCATCTAATTTGTAATTATCTTTTGCATCATGAAGTCTTGAATCTTGGGTGAGTTTGCCTGTGGATAAAAGATTATAGGTTGAATTTGGAACATGAAGAACTGATTCAAAACTAGGGATTGAATTATTTGGACCATCACTTTACCAGCAGTGGGAGAAAAAGAGCCATCAACAGTTTTTACTTTTTGTCTCCTAAATAAGTGGTTTATGTAGAGAACGAATTTGATAAACTATTCTTAACGGAGGCATTCAAATAAATTATCTGTTAACCAATGCTATTCATTTTCGGGTTTTAAAACCAAAAATGCTACATGTTTGTGCCACTTCACAGAAGGTTGTCTACTAAATTTTGAAACTGAACCAAGAGTTTCTTTGGCCTATCATTGTCATCTTTGCTGAGTATTCTTTGTGGGGTTCCTCAAAAATAGCTGTTCGGCAAGCCTGATCTATTTGTTGATCCAGCTTTGTTTCTAATTCCCTGTTTGAAAGGTTCTAGCACCAACTAGTTATCGCACATGGGAGTGACCAATGTAATAAAAGGGTTGATTACAATTGACCTTCTTAGTGACGAATCATGCTCCAACTACTGGCAGTGATTTATAAGTAGCCAATTCATAGTCATTTGTTCTAAGAAACCCTACAAATTGTAGGTTTTAATTAAGTGTGTGGTCAAGAAGATCAACTATGTAGGTGGAAAGAGATTAAGGCCTCGTTTGGTAGCCATTTTTTTCAAGATGCATTTTTCTCTCTCTTCTTTTCAACCACAAATTTTTTATTAAAATAATATTACACGTAAATCAAAAACTTTTCTTTATTTCTCAACCACACATTTCACATCAATTTACTATTCTAAAATGCATTTTTACATAAAAATGCTTATCAAACACCACCTAAATCAAGCCTTCAAAAATTTGTGGCGAACAATTTTATGAACATTGGTGTTGGATATTCTGTAGATCAAAACATCAATTTTATTGGGCAGAAATATGGAACTTTTTCACGACTTAGGAGACAACAAACAAACACATTGCAGACTTCTATTCCCGAATCCGGTCCAATTAAGAGAACGTACCATCGAAAAATAGCTTCGTTTAATTTCTGGATAGACACTTGCAACCAATCTAGCCTTGGTTGTTTCCCCTAGTAAGTTATTAAAGGAGACATAACTCAAGCTTGGTTGGCTTTGCAGGTTTTTTATTGGGGACTAGACAAACTATTTTGGAGACAAAAGATGGAGGAAATACATGGGTACCACGTTCAATACCCTCTGCAGAAGAAGAAGATTTCAATTACAGATTTAACTCCATCAGCTTCAAAGGCAAGGAGGGTTGGATTATTGGAAAACCAGCTATTTTGTTGTACACTTCTGATGCTGGAGAAACATGGCAACGCATACCGCTAAGTTCTCAACTTCCTGGTGACATGGTAAGCACAATCTTCCTAAGTCTATCTTGTCCATTTATTGTGTTAAATTTTCATTCAGTATCTACTATATTTGGTTCATCAATTGTGTAATAATACTACAGACCATGCTGGAGCCTTCGTTATAATGACATGCTGCAGGCCAGAATTTTAAATATTTTAAATTAATTGTCGTTATCTCTTTTATGTGTTGAACTTAAATATTAATGACATCCCTAAATTTTAGCTTGGGCTTCAAATCTCCTTACCAATGTTAAGTTTACAACATAGCTTTTCAATCACCAGATGCAACACCATCTTTATCATCTGATATTTTCTCAACGGCCTGGAACTTTGGATAGCTTCCCACAGCATTAATCTTCAAACGCTAGTACAACTACTTATTTTCATAAGGATTCGTTTCATCATGTCAATTGTAGTCATCAATAGTAATAATAATTTTTGACGTCGTCTTCGCGTTTATCCTGATTTGGCGAATGAATTATTGGTTCTCCAATATATGCTTCTAAATATGGGGAACGTAGCATTTGAAGCTTTTGCCTTTTGCAGCAATTGCATTATTTGGTATCAGATTTCGCTTAACGGTTCCTATAATAACCATTTGAAGATGATGGTGGTTGTAAAAACTCTTTTGTGAACTTTAACTATGGGAATTGGACAGCTCTTAGATTAGCACATGTGAAGTTTTGTCGTTTTCTTGAACACGTTGCTTGTAAAAGCATGTTGAATGGATGAAGTTAAAGTCACGCGAGTTATATATTACTATGGAAGTAGCCGTAAATAAGTTACTATGAGGAAATGATGCAACTCTAAAGAAATAATCCAAGAGGTCGTTATGGTTTTAGCTATGAATTAATATTTTTACGAGTCATTTGAGCTTCACGTATGAACTTTAATGTTGCAAAATACAATCTTCTGTAATTATCTTGGTTTGGAATGTTTCAGCATAAGAAACTTTGCACGTTTATTTCATATACTAGTGAATGAGAGTGTTACTTAACCTTTCTCTCTTCCATATTAAGAACATAACACTAATGCCACAGTTCCTTTCCCTCAAAAAATTATTAAATGGATATCTAGTATTACCAGCCTCGGAAAATGGAATAGAAGGATTTGATTTTAAAGTCCTCTGTGAACATATCATCTAGTTTCTCTACACGTGTCTAAATAACTCTCAAGAATAGATTTCTCTTGATACGCATTTGACATGAAATGCCACATTCTCATTGTTTATGTTGATGAGATAGTGTTCTTCAGTTCATCATTTACCTAGGGGCTAATTTGCACAAAACTCCCTATCATTTGGGTGCTCTGTGATATTTGTCCTTATAGTTCCAATCTTGACATTCTTGCCCTCAATTCCACCTTTCACTGCAGAAAACACCCTTTCCTTAACACACCTGTTAGAAAATGCCATTAAGTGGGTACCTGACTGAAACATAACATAATTTAGAAGGACAATTTTGTGAGTCCACTTAATCCCTACCATTTAATTTTAATTAAAACCGTATAAGAATCTTAATCCTTCAGCTTCTTCATATCCTCAGTACCCTCAACCCAACCCTCAGCCAAAGCCCCCTCCCTCCACACTCCATAACCACAACTACTCCACCGTTGCCACCCCCACAGTTCTCCTCCACCACGCACCCACCTAACTGCATTTTCTGACAGATGGGGATGGAAAGGAAGTTTTTCGAAGCGAAAAGTGTAATTGAATGCAAGAGTGCCAAGATTGGAAAGACATGGACGAATATTGCAGTGGACCCGGTAGTGGCATTTTGTGCAAATTAGCTTTTCCCTAGGTTTTTATCTCATATATCATAGCTTCTTTCCATTTACGCTGTGCAACCATCTGATCATTGGTATCAAGGACGACTACAAAAACAGCTTGACAAGGAGGACACAATGCAATATAAGATACACATATATATAGGAAGTAGGGTACAGGACCCGGCTTCGTTTCTGATAGACATCTATAGATTTTGTTATGAACAAAAGAAAATTTTCTAAGTTTTTGCTACCAAATTTTTCCTTTTTTGGGACGGCCGTGCTTAAAATTTTTGCTTCTTTAGGAAGTTAAATGAGATGACATACTTTACAGAACATTTAAAACTAAATTTGGAGCCTGTGGAACATGAAACTAGACCAATATCATGGTATATGTCATATGTCTAAATTTCTTACTTTTGTATTGAGTGAGAGCATGTGCTCAGAAGAATTTTAAATCTGCAAATTTTAAGTATGCGACCACATGAGCTGATCCATTAATAAAAGTAGGAGGACTATAGTTGATCAGTATGTTCCTCACTTAAGTTTATATACTAGTCCAAAAAAAGAGTAAGAGCGAGTTAGAGGTGATTTTTAATTTTGGTCAACTCAGCTTTTCCATGGTGGTGGTAGTACAAAGAGATACAAAGAGGAGAGACCTAGATTCTTTGACTCCAAGGCAAAGAATATGTGCTGGGACAAGGCTGAAAGAATCCCTAGTCGACACCCTGATAGATGGAGGATAGATGCTGCCGGCAACCTAGTCTGCAAACGTCTCCACTCCTGCAATGGCTGCCTTTGCTATGAGTATGACCACATCATCCCATTTTCAAAAGGAGGTGAATCTGTGGTGGAGAATTGTCAAATTCTGCAAACCAGGGCAAATAGGTTGAAGTCAGACAACAATGGAATTGACATGACTCAACTGAAAGGTTACTCTTGTGACTTGAAGTTCAGTGATGATGAACTTGACATTATTGAAATGGCTGTTTATGGAGATGTTATGCGTCCTGGAAAACAATGTCGTGTTGGAAGTATTGATGCAATGCTTGGAAAATGCAAGTCCAAAGATCTTACGATGACATGCAAGTTGCCACAGATTGAAGAGTCCTTGTCATAATGATGGATTTGAAATCTTATAAACTTAAAAAAGAAAGTGAATATAGATTTGGTCGTTCAAAATCTTATTTTTTGTACAATTTGTTCTCTTTTTAAAATTTTTTGTATTCGCACTGCTTCTGTGAGCATTTTATTTTTGAAATAAACTTATTTTGTTTATCCTGTCCCACATTTAGGACTGAAAATAAAATTTTCCTGCTACCTCTACAACAAATTGTATTCAGCAAGAATTTACACAGGGACTTCAAACAATTGCATTTCCATTGGTTCTTTTAAAAATCCGAGCGTAGGCTATTATCTATTATTGTTTTTGAACATTACAGGTGTATATAAAGGCCACGGGAGAAAAGAGTGCAGAAATGGTAACTGATGAAGGAGCAATATATATTACATCAAACAATGGATACAACTGGAAAGCTGCTGTGCAGGAAACCGTTTCAGCTACTTTAAACAGGTAAATTTCTTCCAAGGTGATACGCCTAGTAGATGGTCTAGCCTGGACATATATACAATTGAGGAACCATTATAAGCTCTATAGTATTTCATTCTGCTATGCATGTATCGCTGTTTAATATATACATAACGTCTTAAGTTTGGGCCTCATGAATTATTTTGCATTTTCTAGATATCTTCTCTAAAATACTGTTCTCATGGCATCATTATGTCCTCTCATGATTAGTATCTGGATCCCATTTCTAGCTTTATTTCTGTAATCTTGTCATTTTCCTTTTTCTCTCTTTGGGATGACCTGAGAGGAAAGAGTTAACGAGTTTACAAGCAAGAAAGAGCTAACAGATTATGAAGTTTTTTATCAACTTATATCATCACCGAAATTCAATAATAACTTCTGCATAACCTAATGTTGTTGCAGAACAGTTTCTAGTGGTATTAGTGGCGCGAGCTATTACACAGGAACTTTTAATACTGTGAATCGCTCACCTGAAGGAAATTATGTTGCTGTTTCAAGCCGTGGTAACTTCTATTTGACATGGGAACCAGGGCAGGTGAGATTCTATAACTGAACTATCCTATTATTCTAAGGAGTATTTACTTTTATCTTCTCCTTCACTAGAGCAATATTTCAATTTTTGCCAGATTCGGTAACAAGACCCAGAAGTATCTTGTTTCTGTTCATTTTTCCATTGTCTCTTTGTTTAGGAATTTTTTTATATATATAAAAAATGTCACCACATTCTAGCTTAAAATGTTGCTCATGGTTATGCATATCTTAGGCATACTGGCAGCCACATAACAGGGCTGTTGCAAGACGAATCCAGAACATGGGCTGGCGAGCTGATGGTGGTCTCTGGCTTCTTGTACGTGGTGGAGGGCTTTATCTCAGCAAGGGCACTGGGGTGAGTAAGCTTTATATTTTCTTTGTTAATTTTATCTCAATCATAGTACTGAACAATGTTGGTCATTTGTTTTTGTATTATGAAAGTTTAACATTGGGCGTTCATGAAATTTTTTTCTGAATAATGAAGGTAAAATTTTTACAATCTTGAAATCTACTCTATTTTTATAGATAGGCACCATAACATTTTTTTCTTTTTTGGCTATTTATGTGGCCCCTTTTACTCTTTGTCAAACATACTCAATAAGATTCGATGCCCCTCAATGTTGAGGTTCTCTCATTATATAGAACCAAAATCATAGTTATATATGGTAAAAGCAATCTATGTATTTATGGTATAATTATAATGATAAAATAATCGTAATCTTTGAGGATATCCATAATTTTATTCGATCCCCGTAATCTCTTTCAATCTCATTAACTTCCCCCTCAAATTGATGTCGGTAAAAGTATCAATTTGCAATAATGAACCGACGGGGATGACAATGCTCTGAGATCATGTCAAGATCTAGAGTTTTATTTTAAAAGGTTAACCTTATTAAATGGAGTAGTTCAAACTCTTATAAATTAGTCTATATTTTTCTTCTTTAATCGATGTGAGATTTTAATGTGCTCATTTTTTTACTCTTTATTAGATTGAATTGCTTGTTAAAACTTAATGTGCTCTGATACCATGTTAAACATACTGATTAATACTCAATAAGACTCGATGCCTCTCAATGTAGATGTTCTCTCATTATATATAACCAGAATCATAGTTAAATATGGTAAAAACAATATATCTATATATGGTATAATAATTATGATAATATAATCATAATCTTCGACGATCTCCATCATCTTATTCGATCCCCGTAATCTCATTCAATCTCATTAACACTCGTTAACATCACATTGATTAATTTAGTCAATGGTAAAATACCCACCTATTTCTAAGAATATTATGGGAGAGAGAAATTTGAGTATAAGTCGATGTGTAATTCAAAGCTCTCACAGAACCAGGCAGGTTTGGGTCAAGATTATCTACTGTGAAAATCATTTATTTGCTTGAGAGTTTGGTGAAAAATTCTAGAGAGAACAAACAATCTTTGCATATGGTCTTTTATTGATTTATTTAAAGCTTATGATATGTTGCCCACGGAAGTATATGGCTTGTTCTAGAATTAGAGGAATTTCTGTTAGATATCAGTGTTATTAAGGATATGCAGGATGAGGTAATAATGAGTCTGACTAGTGTTGATACCATTGAATTTCCTACTAATGTAGGCTTGCATTATGGTTCTATCTTAGTCTATGTTTTTCGCTTCAGTCATGGATGGGCTTACAGAAGATTATCTATGATACTGTTCCTCGGCCACTATAGATCTTAAGTTATCCTAAAGAGTGATTGCTTTAGGTATTTAGGCTTTTTTATTTGTAATGAAGGATGACTTGAAAATGACGTAATGCATAGGATTAAAGAGGGTTGGATGAGATGGAAGAAGGGTACAAACTTTCTATGGGATAGGACGATAATACATAACAGTAAGCTGACATTCTATGCTTTATAGTACTGAGTGTTAGGTTGTTAAAGAACAGACTGATGGAGTATGGATGTGGAAGAAATTGGGATGTTAAGATGGATGTATAGCCCTATTAAAATGAACGAGGTAATAAAAGAAAACATAAAGCAACAAGTGGAGTTAGGACACCAATTGAGGATGAATTGGATGCCATATCAAGTGCTGAGTATGAATACACAGAACTTTGTGTATGATGGTTATGAGGTGCATTCCAGAGATGTGTTGCAAGCCTATGAATTTGATTGTGATTACCAGGAAGCTATCCACATTTCTAAGCTTGCAAACTTAATTCAGATTCATATCTACCCCCAGAAAACTCAGAAAAGTCACCCTGTATAACAACAAATTTAGCCTATGTTTGGCTCATGTTTATATATTGTTTATAAACACTCAAGCTACTTTTTATCCACACATTTGTAGGGACCCACAAGTACTACCCATTTATCCATCACTCATTTCTATCTATTTATAATTTAAATTGTTTATAAATACTTCCCAAACATGCTTTATGTCTTATTCTCAGTAAATTTAGAGTTGGTTATATGATCCGCTTTTTGCTATTCTGTTTAAACCATTGCTACATGAGCAGAAAATTCAATGCAGTTAAATTCTTCAAATCAGATTATGTTAAAGTTTGGTCGACCTCTTCGTTTTCTAACTTGTCCTAATACATCACTCTTGTGAATGCAAAATATCTTTAGTTGTACGGCAGCAATCACCCAAGTCTTCCTTTGGGTAATTTACTGTCCACTCGTCCATATTAACATCCAAATTTTCATTGCATTCATTACAGACTTTTATTTTTTAGGAAAAAAGACTCAGTATAACAAGTCCGACATTTGCCTTTTCGCCTCTCTACACTCATCTAGTTAATAAATTCAAACTTATCGAGCACGAGCACTCAACATTTCAAATAATGATATAGAGTAAATTTTTCGACATTAGGTTTGTTATGGATTCAGTTGGTGTTTTGTGTATATTAATTTTGTTTATTGAGGAGTAAAATTAATTAACTGCCTCCTAGTAAAATGAATTAATGGAGTTGGAACTTTCTAGTTTATTCCTTTTCTAACATTGTCACTATTTGAAAAGGCGTATCCTGCAATTTTTTTTTTGTTTTTGTTTTTGTTTTTGTTTTTGTTTTTTGTTTTTTGTTTTTTTTTTTGTTTTTTTGTTTTTTAAAATTCAAGTACTGCCTCCCTAATTCAATTTTTAGGTTACTTATAATGCTCTCTGTTAATATACTTCTCTTTGCAGATGTGATTGTGCTTTCTAAGATAGCGTTCTCCTTCTTATTTTGTAATTTACTTGATAACTCTGCTTTCTCTGAATAAAGTGTCAAATTTTGTTTTGTCAAATTCCAGATAACAGAAGAATTTGAAGAAATACCGGTGCAAAGTCGTGGTTTTGGCATTCTTGATGTTGGGTACCGTTCTCAGGTATATATGATTTTAAACAATTATGATATTTTGAATTTATAGAGGAAAAGATGGTGAAAAAAAGAATCAATATTACATTTTAAGATGTGAAGGAAGCCATACGGTGGCCATTGCTATTCACACCTTAGAAGATTTCTAAATAAGGTTCCTAGACAGAAGGGACTCGTGTACATAAAATTCTTCTACTATTTAAGTTAGATCTCAAAATTTAATATAAAGTTTAAAACTAATCTATTTGTAGAAAGGGAATTTCTCAATGATAATTGGCAAGCAGATAAGGTTACATGTGTCACACCTCCATATGATTTGGCAGTGGCAATGAGTACCACGACAAACATGAGTGCTCCTTAAGTGTTCCAAGAATCAAAAGTGTAGCTTCAGTTTAAGTCGAACTTCGTTTGATAAAGAATAGATCATTTCAAAAATTTATCGTGCTACTATTTTAATGTCCATGTTCAAGAAAAATAGTAGGAGTGAAACAGATAAGAGATCGAAGCATGTGGTGGCTACACCACTTCTTTGCATGTTGAATATGTTGGCTGCATGTCCTTACATTTATTTTAACTAAAAATTGAATAATTACATAAAAAGAAGGGCTAAATTAAGCGGGGACATAAATATTATTTGCCAGTTTATGGAGAATGAGAGCTACCAGGAAGAACAAGAAGTAAATTTCAATTCAACTAAATTAAACCACAAAAAGAAAAAATCTGACTTTGCTTCTATAATTTTTTGCGGATTATATATTTCTAAAATCCTTGGAAAAAGTTCATGTTTACATTGGCTTAATACCATAGATAATTGACATCCTTAATTTATAGAAATTGCATAAATAAAAATTTTAATTCCAAATTAATTAGTTAAATCCTATAATCTAATAATTAATATTATCTGTTCAATATCTTCATGTCATCAATCACCCCCCTTTTGTGGCAGAAGAAATCAATACCTTTCAGATTGAATGTTGATTATATATGAGCCACTTAATTTGTTCTCTAAAAAAAATTATTGCTTCTGCTATGTTTTTTGATCATTATATAGTCAGAAATTTTTAAATGCTGTGCGACTCATTATCTTGCTGATATAATGTTGTAGGAGGAGGCTTGGGCTGCTGGTGGCAGCGGAATTCTTCTAAAAACCAAGAATAGTGGGAAGACATGGATTCGTGACAAAGCAGCTGATAACATTGCTGCCAATCTGTATTCTGTAAAGTGAGATAATTTTTTCTTCACAATAATGAATTGCTTTACTTAATTCTATCAAAAATATTTTGAATAAATGGCACCTAAGCATTTCTGCATCATCATCGTCATTATCATTTCCAAATATATACTCACTTTTTGCTTCATTCTATATTTACTTTAGTTTGAAACATTTGTCTACTGAAAATTTATTATTAAAATTTTCTGGAAGATGATTCATTCTACTGAAAATTTATTATTAAACGTCTGTCTTGCGCCATTGATAAAAATTTTAATATCAATTTTCTTTTCTCCAGCATTTCGATTAGTCTAGAACCTCACAACTCGTTAATATATCTGCTGCAGGTTTATCAATGACAAACAAGGGTTTGTGCTAGGGAATGATGGTGTCAGACAGAAGGGACTCGTGTACATAAAATTCTTCTACTATTTAAGTTAGATCTCAAAATTTAATATAAAGTTTAAAACTAATCTATTTGTAGAAAGGGAATTTCTCAATGATAATTGGCAAGCAGATAAGGTTACATGTGTCACACCTCCATATGATTTGGCAGTGGCAATGAGTACCACGACAAACATGAGTGCTCCTTAAGTGTTCCAAGAATCAAAAGTGTAGCTTCAGTTTAAGTCGAACTTCGTTTGATAAAGAATAGATCATTTCAAAAATTTATCGTGCTACTATTTTAATGTCCATGTTCAAGAAAAATAGTAGGAGTGAAACAGATAAGAGATCGAAGCATGTGGTGGCTACACCACTTCTTTGCATGTTGAATATGTTGGCTGCATGTCCTTACATTTATTTTAACTAAAAATTGAATAATTACATAAAAAGAAGGGCTAAATTAAGCGGGGACATAAATATTATTTGCCAGTTTATGGAGAATGAGAGCTACCAGGAAGAACAAGAAGTAAATTTCAATTCAACTAAATTAAACCACAAAAAGAAAAAATCTGACTTTGCTTCTATAATTTTTTGCGGATTATATATTTCTAAAATCCTTGGAAAAAGTTCATGTTTACATTGGCTTTACGAGAGTACTAAATGGGAAATACCATAGATAATTGACATCCTTAATTTATAGAAATTGCATAAATAAAAATTTTAATTCCAAATTAATTAGTTAAATCCTATAATCTAATAATTAATATTATCTGTTCAATATCTTCATGTCATCAATCACCCCCCTTTTGTGGCAGAAGAAATCAATACCTTTCAGATTGAATGTTGATTATATATGAGCCACTTAATTTGTTCTCTAAAAAAAATTATTGCTTCTGCTATGTTTTTTGATCATTATATAGTCAGAAATTTTTAAATGCTGTGCGACTCATTATCTTGCTGATATAATGTTGTAGGAGGAGGCTTGGGCTGCTGGTGGCAGCGGAATTCTTCTAAAAACCAAGAATAGTGGGAAGACATGGATTCGTGACAAAGCAGCTGATAACATTGCTGCCAATCTGTATTCTGTAAAGTGAGATAATTTTTTCTTCACAATAATGAATTGCTTTACTTAATTCTATCAAAAATATTTTGAATAAATGGCACCTAAGCATTTCTGCATCATCATCGTCATTATCATTTCCAAATATATACTCACTTTTTGCTTCATTCTATATTTACTTTAGTTTGAAACATTTGTCTACTGAAAATTTATTATTAAAATTTTCTGGAAGATGATTCATTCTACTGAAAATTTATTATTAAACGTCTGTCTTGCGCCATTGATAAAAATTTTAATATCAATTTTCTTTTCTCCAGCATTTCGATTAGTCTAGAACCTCACAACTCGTTAATATATCTGCTGCAGGTTTATCAATGACAAACAAGGGTTTGTGCTAGGGAATGATGGTGTCTTACTAAAATATCTAGGGTGAATCAACAGCATGATATGGTAAAATAGTTTTGAGCCCTATTATTTCCTTTCACTTGAATATGCATTTGTTTACCTAAAGTGAGAGATATAGAAATGCACTCTGAATGTGACTTTTCCAGCATGGAGGAGTAAGTTTGGCTAAGCTTAAAAAATTTATTTATAGGTAAATAAGTTTTTAATATAAATAACCTTTATAGTTGTCATAGTTGGAAATAAGTTGCCTATGTTGCAAGTAAGGTGTGAGTTACTTTCAAATAAGTTACTTTTTTACGTAAAAATAAGAAAAAGGTCAGTTATTATCCCTGTTCCTTTTTAAGCTTAGCCAAACATGCAAGCTTTGACTCTTGAAAAAGTCAGCTAAAAAGATCTGTTTGAGCCACATTTTTTCAAAAAAATACATTTTTAAACAGTAATTTGATATCATTTCAACTACACATTTTCCATTAATACACTATTCAAAAATGCATTCTTAATATGGCTCAAACAAGGGCCTAATGTGTGTGATTTATTGGACTTCTTGTTTCGTATGCGACTTTAGCAAAATTGTACCAATTTTCCGTGTACTAATATTTTTGCAGGTTTCCTTAATGATGCTTGAGTTTTGTGATGCTGAACTTGAGTTCTATAGGTATATCATATTATATATCATCTGCTGTGAAAAGCAGATACTTGAATGAAAGACACTGTTGTTACATTGTAAATGTGAGGGATACTTCCTCATTCAAACTTCTTCAAATCATCAATTATAGAGTGTTGATAATGTCATAGTTCTGCGAGGTTTTTCAGTGTCAGTGTGACAGTATAAAACTACGTTAAGTGTCGGTATATATTTGTTAAAAAATGGTTTATTCATTTTAAAAATTAAACTTCTTAGTCTGTTACAGAATAATATTAGTTGTATAATTGACGGATTTATAGGGACCTAATTAGCTAATTACCATAATTAGACAGATTGTATTAGTATATATACACACGGTTTCTTATGAATAATATACGGAAAATATTCTCCCAATACCTCTGTTGAATTACATGGTATCAAAGCCTACCTTTGGGATTTCTGATTCTTGGGTGAATTTCGTTGGTCACTGAGTCCGGTGTGTGTGTCGCCTCAGTGTGTGTAGCATTGGTGTGGGAGATCGACTGTCGGATCATTGGCATCTCCATCTGCATGTGCTACGATCGAGGGCGACTTGTGTTAGTGACGAAGGTACTAATTGTTATCGACGACGGCTCGCGTCTCTGTTCAATCCAACGATCGACGCGAGCTTTGTGGAATTTGCAGCTCGTGTCTTTGAGGTACTGATTTTTGTTTGGACTGTTTCTCTGTGGCCGTGTTTTACTACCTTAGTTAGGCTGAAGTGTTTTCGTGCCTGAATTCTTATTGGGCTAGCCGTGTTTTGCTTCTTTAATTGGGCTGAAATGTGCTAGTTGGGCCTGATTAATTCTGGGTTGTTTCCTTTAATTTATTGCTGGACTGTTTCTTTTAGGCTGTGAGCGACTAAATTTCTTTTGGTTTGGATTATTTGTATTAGCGCCTCTGCCTATTGTTTTGGGAATTTTATTGAGAAATGACTGAGTCCAAGAAATTTGAGAGTGAAATGGTTCCAATAATGTCCAAAATCAACGAACACAAATTGAATGGCACTAATTATTTAGAGTAGAGTAAGACAGTTAGAGTCTATTTATGGAGCAAAGACAAAGATAATCACTTAACTAAAGATCCACCTAAAGATGATACCAAACAAAGTTGGTTGAGAGAAGATGCACAACTGTTTTTACAAATTAGAAATTCTATTGACAGTGAGGTAATTGGTTTAATTAATCACTGTGAATTTGTAAAAGAACTAATGGATTATCTTGAGTTTTTGTACTCTGGCAAAGTAAACGTGTCGCGAATGTATGAACTTTGCAAGGCTTTTTATTGTGTTGAAAAGGAAGCCAAGTTTCTCGCAGCTTACTTCATGGACTTCAAAAAAATGTATGAAAAACTTAATATGCTATTGTCATTTAGCATTGATGTCAAAATACAACAAACTCAAAAGCAAATAGCTGTTATGAGCTGCCTAACTGGTCTTCCTTCCGAATTTGAGACTTCCAAATCTCAAATTCTCTCTAGCTCTGAGATTTCCTCTCTTCAAGACGTCTTCAGTAGAGTTCTGCGTACTGAAAATACCTCACATATTCAATGGAATGATGTTCTTGTTGCTAAAGGAGGGGGAATGCTTATGGAAGCAGGGTCAACAACAGGGGAGGAAGAAACAAGGTTACTGATAATCGTAATAGTGATTTAGGCAGTGTTGAGTGCTACTACTGCCATGAGCCAGGCTATACCAAGCGATTTTGTAGGAAATTGCTTATTCGCAATCAGAAAACTCAGACTACTAATGTTGTTGTTGCTCCTAGTTCATCTTTTGAGAAAACGGTTATGATATCAACTGATGAGTTTACTAAATTCTCTCAGTATCAAGAATCACTGAAGGAATCCACCCCAGTTACTACCCTTGCTGAGTTAGGTAAAACATGTCTTATATCCTTTTCAAACAACTGGGTGATTGATTCAGGTGCCACAGACCACATGACAGGTAATCATAATACATTCTCTAGCTTTCAATCACAAAAAGCTCCCTCTCCTGTTACCATAGCTGATGGGTCAACCTATAACATTGTGGGATTTGGAACTATTAAACTAATTCTCTCTATTATCCTGTCATCTGTTCTAAGTCTACGAAAACTTGCTTTCAAGTTAATTTCTGTAAGTAGACTTACCAAGGATCTTAACTGTTGTATCTCATTCTTCCCTGATCATTGTCTTTTCCAGGATTTTATGACGAAGCAGATTATTGGTAAAGGACATGTATTTGATGGTCTTTATATTCTTGATGCATAGGTGCCTCGATCTGTTGCTTGTTCCATGTCATCACTCCAGTTGAACCACATTGTCGGTTGGGACATCCGTCTTTGCCTATTTTGAAGAAGCTATGTCCTCAGTTCCATGATGTATTTTCACTAGATTGTGAGTCATGTCACTTTGCAAGACATCACCGTAGCTCGTTAGGTCCAACAATTAATAAACGAGCTAAGTCCGCTTTTGTGTTGGTTCATTCCGATGTTTGGGGACCATGTTGTGTCTAAAACTGGATTCAAATATTTTATTATTTTTGTGAATGATTCTCTCGAATGACATGGATTTATTTTAAGAAAAATTGATCTGAAGTGTTTTCTCACTTTTGTGCCTTTTATGCTCAAATTAAAACCCAATTTAGTACTTCTGTGCATATACTGCGAAGTGATAATGCTAAAAAATACATGCCTGAGTCATTTCAGACTTACATAACTCGACATGGGATTCTTCACCAATCCTCCTGTATTAATACTCCTTTTCAAAACGGAGTTGCTGAGAGGAAGAATAGACATTTACTTGAAACAACTCGAGTTCTTCTGTTTAAAATAAAGGTTCCTAAGCAATTTTGGGCTGATGCCATCTCTACAGCTTGCTTTCTAATTAATCGCATGCCATTTACAGTACTTAAGGGTGATGTTCCATATAGTGTTCTATTTTCAAACAAGTCATTGTTCCCAGTGGAACCGCGAATATTTGGAAGCACCTGTTATGTTTGTGATGTAATGCTATTTGTTACTAAATTTGATTCAAAAGCCTTGAAATGTGCTTTTCTGGGATATTCTAGCCTTCAGAAAGGATATCGGTGCTACTCTCCTGATCTCCATAAATACCTAGTTTCTATTGATGTGATCTTTTCGAAGAATACACCATTCTTCTCTTCTCCTTCCATGTCTACAAGTCAAGGAGAGGAAGATAAGTGGCTACTCTACCAAATCACGCATCCAAGCGTATGATGGTGCTTTCATTGAGAGACTCTTAACTCCAGCAAAGCCAACTATCATTCACGTTTACTCTAGAAGACAAGAGACCAATGATACATGTCCTGCACCGGCTATTTCATCATCTGATCCCCCAAATGACATTGACCTTCCAATTAGTCTTCACAAAGATAAACGTCACTGCACCCTTCCTAAATCTATTTATCCTATGGCCAACTTTATTTCATATGATCATTTGTCTCTTCCGTCTAGTTCTTTAATTGCTTCTTTATACTCAGTATGTATGCCCAAGACAGAAAAAAAGCATTGGGTCATCCTGGATGGAAAAATGCGATGCGTGAAGAGATACATGCTTTAGATAAGAATTACACTTGGAAATTGGTAGATTTACTTACAGGCAAGAAAGCTGTGGGATGCAAAAATGGGTCTTTGCTGTTAAAGTCAATTCGGATGGTTTTGTGGCAAGACTTAAAGCCAGACTTGTTGCAAAAGGAAATACTCAAACTTATGGAGTGGATTATTCAGATACCTTCTATTCGGTAGCCAAACTTACCTCTGTTCGCCTATTTATATCCATCGCTGCTTCTCAAGATTTGCCCTTACACTAGTTAGACATCAAGAATGCGTTCCTTCATGGTGATCTCCAAGAAGAAGTATATGGAGCAACCATCTGGGTTTGTTGCTCAATGGAAGTATGAGAAAGTTTGCCATCTGAAGAAATCTCTGCATGGGCTAAAATAGAGTCCCCATGCTTGGTTTGGCAAGTTTAGTGAGGTAGTTCAAGAGTTTGGGCTGAAGAAGCAAGTGTGATCACCCAGTCTTCTACAGATAGTCAGCGGTTGGTATTATTCTTCTTGTTGGTTATGTTGATAAGATTATCATTATAGGAGATGATTGTGTAGGAATCTCTTCTCTTAAGCTATTTCTACATACCAAGTTTCACACACCAAAGACTTGGACCAGCTAAAATACTTTCTTTGAGTAGAAGTAGCTAGAAGCAAAAAAAGGATCTTCTTATCTCAAAGAAAGTATGTACTCGATTTGCTGGCAGAAATCAGAAAGATGGGAGCTAAGCCAAATAGCATGCCAATGGTTCCCAATGTACATCTTACAAAAGATAATGGTGATATTTTTGATGATCCGGAAAAGCACAGGAGATTAGTTGGGAAATTAAACTATCTCATGGTGACTCGTCCAGATATTGCTCATACGGTCAGTGTTGTCAGCCAATTTAAATCTACACCTACAGTAAAACATTTGGAAGCCTTGGAATGGATACTATGTTACTTGAAAAGAGCTCCTGGTCTTGGCATAGTGTATAGCAATCATGGACACACTTGCATTGAGTGTTTGGCATATGCTGATTGGACTGGATCCAAAATTGATAAACGGTCCACTACAGGATATTGCGTCTTTGTTGGTGGAAACCTTGTGTCTTAGAGGAGCAAAAAGCAAAATGTCGTACCCCGGTCTAATGCAAAATCAGAATATAGAGCCATGAAACAGACCACATGTGAAATTTTGTGGATACAAGATCTTTTAGCTGAGGTTGGATTGAAGCCGTCAATACCAGCAAAACTCTAGTGTGACAATCAAGCTGCTCTTCATACCACCTCAAATCCAGTATATCATAAAAGAACTAAACACATTGAGGTCGATTGTCATTTCATTGTGAGAAAATCTAAGAAAATTTAATCTCTACTGGTTATATAAAGATTGGAGAGCAACTTAGAGATATATTCACAAAAGCATTAAATGGGAACAAGATTGAGTATCTTTGTAACAAGTTGGGCATGATTAATATTTATGTTCCAGCTTGAAGGGGAGTGTTATAGAATAATATTAGTTTTATAATTGGCATATTTATAGGGATCTAATTAGCTAATTACCATAATTAGACAGATTGTATTAGTATATATACATGTGTTTTCTTATGAATAATATACAGAAAATATTCTCCCAATTTCTCTGTTGAATTACAGTCATTGTGGGAAGAGAAAAAAAAAATCCTTAGTTTTGCACTCCATATGCATTATTGAAGAGAGTAGATCCCTCAAGTGATACATGATTCATTATTTCCATCTTTGGTTGAAGAGAATGCAATACTTTGTCGTGTTAGTTTCGATCTAAGTAGGTGGAAGCTTCATAAAATAATTCATCTCTATATTTGTGTGTTTTGAGACTATATTTATTAACCAAACTATTTAAAGTTGAGAGAAATAAATATAATCGAAGTTGATTGGGGGTTGATCTCATGGGATTAGTAACTGCCCAGGACTATTTGAATATAACAGATTAAAATGGAAATTGGATTTTGTCTTTTCCACTTTTATTATTAAGATTTAAGATTATCAACAATCCCACGTCGAAATGGGAACCCTTGACAAATTGCCATGTGACACTTTATTATTGGATTATTTTTAAACTGTCAGTTTTTTTATTCAATCACATTTTGATAGCACCCATTATCTCACTCTTCTGTCAATCACTTTCTGACAAAGTGGCATAACCATAACTATTTGGAAGGATCTACTTTAGAAAGTTGTTCTCGTCAAAATTCTTGTATTCTTGTTATTATTGTTCTTTTATATTTTTATTTTGTCTATTCTTATTGATTTTTTAGAGGGGGAGATCTTGATGAGTGAATCTAGAAAATGGCCTAAAGTGACCTATTCTGATACGTTCATAAATCATAAATTTGAGTTACTATATTGGTCCAAAAAACTTAATGGCCAAGGTGATTCTTTAGAGCTCAGCAATTGAAGAAATGTTGGTTAGAGAGTGCATATAAGTTTTCTTTCTTTAGTGAAATCCAAGCTCGATCATGATCTTTTAATATTAGAATATTGTGTATCCTCTACAAGAAAATGATAATGTGATTCCTGATTCGTAACCTTTAAAATACGATACCTTCTTTGCATGTTGAAAATACTCTGAAGTCTAATCTAACATTGTAGGTTGTGACAGTTGTTTTCTACCTATACATATATTGTATTCCTACAATCCTAATCACACTTTATAAATATAAGGCTTTGATTATCAATAAAATATATGAATTCTGATTATTTTTCAATTATCTTTTCTCTTAATTTTATAAGAAGTTAATAGCATGAAGTTCTAGCTATTGAGTTAAGAAAAATGATTGTTCTTTTTGTTTGTACTGCCTAGTTGAATTAGTAAATTAGTTTATATTTTCTATTTTTAATTGAAATGTTAGTATTCTCTTGATTTAAATTTAGCGAACGAATTCTTTAAAATTCATTTTTTTCGAAATACATTTTCAACCACTAGAAATAGGGACGGGGAATAAGATATATACGCGTGCTTGTGACGCACTTCTGACTATCTAAAAATATTTCAAAGAGCACAATTGAACCAGAAAAATTGTAAAATATTATAATTTTAATCTGGATAGTTCTTGAACTTTTACCTAGTTTTTATTGAAATCAGGTGTAATTAGATTTTAATAATTATAATTAATAAAGACTTAATTAAAACTATTTTATGTACCCAATCATTTCAAACCCCTAAAAAAATTTTCTACAATAATGCTAGTCTTTAAAGCATTATAATATTAAAAAATGACGTACGGACGACTACCATGTGGGAACTGAAGAGCATTCCAATCACTTTACAATGAATCCACAATTAGAAGCATTGTTACATAACTCAATCGAGATTCTTCCGAAATCTCTTGCTCCTACATCAACTTTTTTCGAACTTAAATGTTTCTCAAACTATCTTCGTTCATTGTTATTGTTTTACTTTTGCCCTTTGATAGTCTATTGGGCAAATAAAGTCAAGGGAATGGTTTTACAACATATTTTTTGAAAGTAGTAGTAAATCATTGAAGTTATCTAATATAAAAGTAACCACAACTTCACTGTTGAACCAAGTGAACAAGAAGAACCTTATTTAACAAATTTCTAAAAGAAAAGGTTACTTGAGAGTAATTAAGTTTAGCTAAATCATGCTTCAATTGTCAATAGCTTTGAACGTGTACAAATAAAATAAAGTTTAACCTTGGCGACTAGATGCGTTACTATAATAAATTAATTTCAGTGTAATGCTATAGATTCCACTCCATGCAACAAGAACCGCAAGAAAAAACATCTCGAGACAAGAAAGATCCAAGTACATCATTACAAGCCATAGTTTGTGGGAGATAATAACCCAAATGGTCACTAAACTTTGTAAAAAAATTTCAAGGGGTCACTGAGCTTTAAAAATTACCCAAGTCATTATTGAACTTTGTAAAAAGTTTCCATTAGGTCACTGAATTTTAAAAATCACTTCATTCATTACTAAACTTAGCAAAAAGTTTCCACAGGACCCTTCCTAGCAACAACTTTGATGAACTTGGCA